GACGGTGTGCGCTTAGGCGGAAGCAGCCCACTGTGGGCCCCGTGGGGCGTGAGCTACAGTCAAGTTCAGGCAGTTGGGGATCCGCGCTCCCCGGGTCACCAGGGGCCTTTCTTAGCAGCAGCAAAGCCCAGACACCGCACGGTCAGAAAGTTGCGTTCCGCGTTGTGTTCCAGGCCCCTGCTGTCCCGTGTCTGCGTCCACACGAGCCGCCGCTGGGCGGTCGTCGGTCCGACGGTCAGCAGCAACGGGCTTTCGGAATTGCTCTTGGATGAGCTGAAGACTTGCTCTTGAAGTTCCCCGAGTGCATCTCCGGGTGGGCATTGCTTGTCTCTTCATTGTTTCCCTCCTGTTTTGAACCTCCAGGAGGTAAAAACTCCGTTAAAAATAAGTAAATAAGTAAACAAATCAGTAAGTCATTTGCTGCAGCGATCTCCGCCTGTGCTAAGGCTCCGAGTTTAAATACCACCCCCCGTACCGGTGGCACCAAGCAAGCAGGCTGGGTCCTGTCGGTACCTTTTCTCTCTACCCATGGGGATGGTCCCTCTGGCGTTTATGAAATCGCACACGTACACCCGTGTCAGCTTTTATCTACGCGCAAGCGGGATAGCCACAAAGGAGAACCATTTTAAGGGGAAAAAAAAAATCCCCTTCCCCTTTGTTCTAATCACAAGTTCATTAAAGCCTGTGTTCGTTTTGTACGGTTCCCGGAACACATTGCCGGAAACAGGGTGGCTTAAAAACTTGCTCTCGGGGTTTGGGAGGTGAGAAGTCCAAAATCAAGGTGGCAGGAGGACTGTGTGCCTGCACCTTGGGTCTCGAAGGTTCTGTGGCTCCCGGCCTCTGCTCATGACAGCGTCACTCCCATCTCTGCAGCCCATCTGTGTGGCCGCCTTCCCTGCGCGTCTCCGGCCTCACGTGGCATTTTCTTCTGAGAAGGCCGCCAGGCGGCTTGGATTGGGGCCTGTCCCAAGGGCCTCGTCCTCACTTGCTTACACACGCAGAGATCCTTTTTCCAAGAAAGGCCACCTTCACAGGTCCCGAGGGAGACCTTTTTGGGAGACACAGTTGAAGCCACAGTGAGGCCCTGGTGTTAAATCAGCATTTACAGGGATGACATCACCGCTACCAAGGAGGATCCCGGCTCCGATGCCTACGGGAGGGCGTGGCAGCCCGGCGGCGACCAGGGAGAAGGAAGGGTAGAGGATCCCTGCCCGCTAGGCCCTTGGTTTACCCCAGGTTTTGCTCCAGCTCTAGAAACTGATTTAAGTCTTTTTCTCCCAATGCAGTGCTAACTTTTCGTGTGTATATATATATATATATATATATATATATATATATATACTTTTTTTTTTTTTTTTGCTCATCCATCATTTACCTTGGTAACCTGGGGGGCCCCTTCCTGCGTGGAGGAGTGAACAAAAAAACAAAGACATCACCAAAGCTGTGCTTTTTCTTCTCTTGCTCAGAGAGCATGGCCGGAAGCAGCCGGTAGATCCAGCGCTAGTTCTCCTGGGTCTGTTTCCGCCATTTTTACCTCGTGTCAGCTCTTGCTTCACAACAGACAGCAGCTCAGCCGCTTGCCCCCTTCCCCCCCCAACAGGTGACTTCTGCCCCCTGGGGCGCCAGATCTCTGCCATCTCCTCCCCAGCCCCCCTCCTCTTCCCAAACAGTGCTTTTGCTATATTGCAGCAAGTCGGGGTGTTCTAGCAAATTCCACCTCCAATGCCAGCTGTGATCGGTGTCTGCAAGACCACCCTTGTGTCCTGCTGGTCAGACCCCTGTGATACAGCATATAGTTTTATTCATGACTGTGATTTGTTACAATAAAACGATGCACAAGGGAACAAGGATATGGAGAAAGCCCTGAGGGAAAACAAGTGTCAGTTTTTAAGAGTTCTTTGCTGGCAGAGTCACCCAGAACGCACCCAGCCACGAGTCATGGGAACACGTGGAATGTTGTCTGCTGGGGGGGCTCAGCAGACACTCGGTGCCTGGGGTGCCTGCTCCAGACTTGCAGAAGGAAGGCAGGTTCAGTATTCACAATGTCATGGGCACAGAGGTTTAGACACAGTGGGTAGTATCAGTCAGGGTGCTGTGAAGCCTGAAACCCAGGCTCCCAGGTACCAGCCTTGCCAGGAGTCCTGTCTAAGGATAGAGCTCAGGCCTGGGAGGTCAAGCTGTCTGGACAGTAGATGAGGGGAGTCATGGAGGAAGCACTATAGATCACAGAGCATGGTTCAGCTGACTCGGGAACCTCCCGCTGGTCCCCAGGCCAGTGATAGGGGTTTCCTTGTTATTTCCTACTTTGCTATTTCGTACTCCGTTGAATAGGTAGATTTTGGCGTCAGAACGTTGAATGACATATTGGCTGCTCATGGATGTCCATGGGTTGAGGAATTAAACAAAAAAAAACACAACCAGTGTTTAAAGAAAGAATGCAGCTCAGTGGTTCCTGTGTTCTTAGGGGGGCAGGGGGGAGGGCTGACATGCTCATGTGCCCAACAGGGGAGGGACACGGAAAGAAGTTGAGAGTATGGCCTGAAGGATGATGTATGGGGGAGCTGCTTCTCCCTGGAACTTGATATGAGGGAGGGGTTCCTTTGTGGGAAGACACTGCCTAATCCTTTATGTATTTATAATCTTGGGCAAACTCACTGTCAGATATTTTTGACTTCAGTTAACTCTTTTGCAGGGTGGAAAGTTTAACCTTATCCTTAAGGTCAGCAAGAATACTTTTACGTGGTTCTGGTGGAAAGAGCTCTTTTGTCATCGTATTACATTTGCCGTGTGTGTGTGTGTGTGCGTGTGTAGGGCAGGTGCACAGAGACTTGGAAGCGTAGGAAATGCATGCATCAGAGTTCTCACGTCTGTGTCCTCTTTTCTGAGCTCTGATCTCTCATTAACTTTCCATCCCATTCCTGTATTACACAAATATATTACCAAGACTTCTTCCAAAGGAATTTTATCATTGAGTCAGCAGAAACGGTCTGCGTATGGCCTGGAGTTCTGTAAGGTGATGTAGTTAGCCGGTCTCTGCTGTAGGTGGATCCCATTAAGCGTCTTGGGTTTAGTGAGGAGAATGGAAGGAAAAGTTCCCAGTCCTTCAGTTTGTGCTTATTTCATAAAACCTCACCCAGGTTTGACCTGGGGCTTGACATGGTGCGTAGTGATGTCATGTGTAATAAGGGAAGGAGTCAAAGTAGTTTGTGTCACAAGAGATCCATGGGTCTTAAAATGCAAACCTTAGTTTCATGGGCAGAGCATTTCTGTGACTTCTCAATGCGGTCTGAACCCTTTGGTTAAAGAAGGATGAGACTTGATTTGGTTGCTGTAAAAGTGTAAAGATAGGTTCCGTGGGTGGTGGAGCTATTAAATTTGTGAGGACGTGAGTGTGGACAGAGTAAGAGATCCGGTAAGTGAGTCATGGAGTAGATTTTAGGTGACCACAGCGTCTTATCTGAATTACCTGTTAATCGAATCCTGTTGCTCAGTGAGTCTCAACTCTCCTTCTGCACATCTCTTGGGTGTTGTAGGACTCAGTGGTCTTTGAGGATGTGGCCGTGGACTTCACCCTGGAGGAGTGGGCTTTGCTGGATTCTGCTCAGAGGAAGCTCTACAGAGAGGTGATGCTGGAAAACTTGAAAAACCTGGCCTCAGTGGGTAAGAATGACCTCATTCCTTCACTTAGTCACTTAGAGAACAAGCATTTTGTGCACATCAAGCCTTTTTCAAAATTTGAACTGTGGAAGGGCACGTGGGTGGCTCAGTCCTTAAGCGTCTGCCTTCGGCTCAGGTCATGATCCCAGGGTCCTGGGTTCAACCCCCGCATCACACTCCCTGCTCCTCGGGGGGGCCTGCTTCTCGCTCTCCCACTCCCTCTGCTTGTGTTCCCGCTCTTGCTGTGTCTCTCTCTGTCAAATAAATAAAGTCTTAAAAAAAAAAAAAAGATTTGGACTCTGGAAAGGGAGTATAGTAGTCATAAGACAGACAGGGTCACAACCACCATAGAGCTAGAATCTGGTAGTTTCTGCGTGAGAAGGAGAATCTATCTATATGGCTCCCATATGTGTCACCAGTGAATATAGATTTCGTGGGTCATTAAGGAGCCCAGTGACGTTTATGTAATCATGTGAGAATTCTGTGTTTATGAGATTGCTTACCACCTTGACCCCTTGTACTTGTTATTTGTGAGGTCCTGACCCAGCTAAACCTCCTCAGTGTCATTTTGACCAACAGGTTCCTTCTTTCTTTAAACCTTGTTCCCTTTTTGCTTTCAGATGACGACACTCAGTTTAAAGCCAGTGGGTCAGTTTCTCAGCAGGATGTTGATGGGAATAAACTGTCCAAGCAACATAAAATAGCAGAGTTTACCAGAAATGATTCCTGGGCCTCTATATTAGGGAAGATTTGGGAAGAACTTAGCACTGAAGATCAACACACAAAGCAGGGGAGACATCTGAGGTGAGTTGCGCTCACAAGAGAAAGCGATATTCCGGGGCGGGGGGTTCTCAGTATGTCATGAAATTGAAAAAGCAAAGGAAACCCCTACAGGAGCCTAGATCAAATCTGTTTACTCACAGGACTTTTAGAGAAAGATTTCCTTAATACAATGTTGATGTTGAGGGTTAAAAACATAGTTTAGTTGAAAACAGTTAGGAGGAAAAGCCACATTGAAGAAACATGGTTTTCGTAATTCCTATGATTGAATCCTTTTCCGCGATATCCGTTTATTCTGCCTTATCAGGTAGGGTAGAAAGCCTACACGTCCACTGAAATTGATGAAAATGTAATCCCAATACTTATTTGTAAATAGCAAGAAATCATTAATCAAACGGTTGGTGTTAACCTGCTTCTCATTCTTCACAGAAATCACGTGGTAGAGAAACTCTCTGAAAGTAACAGTCCGTGTGGGGAAGGCTCCAGTAGGATTCCAAGTGGTAATCTGTATCAGAAGGCTGTTCCTGGAGTGAAAGAGTATGAGTGTAGTGCGTACGGAAAAGTCTCTGTGCATCATTCCTCCCTCAAGAGCCACGTCGCCGTGCACACTGGGCACAAACCGTATCAGTGTCAGGAGTGCGGGCGGGCCTATAGTTGTCGGTCACACCTGCGAATGCATGCGAGGACCCACAACAGAGAGAGAACCTATGCATGTAAATTATGTGGAAAAACCTTTCCTCGTACTTCATCCCTCAACCGGCACATAAGGATTCATACTGCCGAGAAGACTTACGAGTGTCAACAGTGTGGGAAAGCCTTCATCGACTTTTCCAGTCTTACCAGTCATGTGAGAACTCACACAGGAGAGAAACCCTATAAATGTAAGGAATGTGGGAAAGCTTTCAGTTACTCCTCAACTTTTCGAAGGCACATGATAACACACACGGGAGAGAAGCCCTATAAGTGTAAGGAATGTGGGGAAGCCTTCAGCTATTCCTCAACGTTTCGAAGACACATGATCTCACACACGGGGGAGACACCCCACAAATGTAAGGAATGTGGAGAAGCCTTCAGTTACTCCTCTGCATTTCGAAGGCACATGATAACGCACACGGGAGAGAAGCCCTATGAATGTAAACAGTGTGGGAAAACCTTTATTTACCTGCAGTCCTTCCGGAGACACGAAAGGATTCACACCGGAGAGAAACCCTACGCATGCAGGCAATGTGGGAAAACCTTCATTTATCCCCAGTCCTTCCGAAGACATGAGAGGACTCACGGTGGAGAGAAACCCTACGAATGTAGCCAGTGTGGGAAAGCATTCAGCCATCCCTCGTCCTTCCGAGGACACATGAGAGTGCACACCGGAGAGAAACCTTACGAATGCAATCAGTGTGGGAAAACTTTCAACTGGCCCATATCCTTACGAAGACACATGAGGACACACATGAGGGAGAAACCCTATGAATGCAAACAGTGTGGGAAAGCCTTCAACTTGTCAGCTTGCTTTCGGGAACACGTGAGAATGCATCCTGGAGACAAATCATATCAGTGCAAGCTTTGTGGGAAAGCGTTCTATTGCCACCTGTCCTTACAAAAACATATGAGGAGGCACACTGCAGAGAAACTCTACGAATGCAAGCAGTGTGGCAAAGCTTTCAGCTGGCCTGAACTCTTGCAGCAGCACGTGAGGACACACACTGCTGAGAAACCCTACGAGTGTAAGGAGTGTGGGAAAGTCTTCAAATGGCCCTCGTCTCTGCCAATACATATGCGAGTCCACACTGGAGAGAAGCCTTACGAGTGTAAGGCGTGTGGGAAAGCCTTCACTTGTTCCTCGTCCTTAAGAAGACACATGAGGATACACACCACTGAGAGACACTACTTCGGGGATGCGGGAAACTCTCCCGCCAATGAATTCATGCCTCATGCGTCAGGAAATCCACACCAGGAGAAAGATCTTACCCAGCCTGTAAATATGGTACCGCCTTTGTGACGACCTCATCAGAGTGGACCTACGGGCCGTGTATCTCCAGTTCTTTTACAGATGAACAGTTAGGGGAGAACTAGCTCTCCAAGTATTCTGTGAGCTCTCATTCAGAATTTTGCAGGTGGTGTTTCTTCCCTACATTTCCATAAATAAACCTTCTATCTTTATGGCTTGTTGGACTCATGGGGATTTGAAGTGTGTTTTTATTATGTAAGTAGTTTTAATTTCTTTGTTCTTTGAATTCTTGAAGGGGTTTTTCGTATTTTTTGGGATTTTCTTACTGAGTTAATGTGGCAGATACTGGATATCACCTCTTATACAGTTTCTGCCTTACTGAGAATCTATGTATTTTGGCCAGAGGAAACTTACTGCATTTTTTTTTTTTTTTTTTTACAAACAATTTGCAGAAATTTTTTATTATGCAGAGTTCTTCAAAAGCATAGTCTCCTGGGAATTGTTATTTTCAACCCTTTTTCTTTGCTCTTTGTCCTTGCTTGTGACTGGAAATTGGACAGTAGGCTTTTACTGCAGAGCTACTCCATGACCTTGAGCTATAACATACTGAATTGGAGGTGGGTCTTCTGGGTTGTGTTGTCAATGTGGGAACATTGGGAACCATGTTTCCCTTCCTTTTATGATTATGTGGTCAAATTTACCAGTAGCCTAACTTGGCATGGGATTTGGAAGACAGAAGTGAAGAGGCCATTTCTGTGTTTAGAGCCACGTTAAAGTGAGAGAGATGCAAAAGGGCTTTGGACCTCAGCCTGTTTTCCTGATCTTGGCCCTGCCAGTCAAGGGTATCATGAAAAAAATGCTGTGTGCTTGAGTCCCATTTTCTTCAGAGTTTTGTAGGCTTCCATGAGTATATCCGTGAGCTGTGTATCAAGGATCCACTTGTGTGGTCTTGCACTCACAATTTGGATATTCCTGCCAACTCTGATGTGTTCTCTAGACCACTCATTCTGACTCAAGTTTAGTGCTCTTCTCTGTTGCTATGATCCCCCCTTCTCTAGATTTTCCTGTTTGTGTATAAGGTCTTATTTGTCTTGTGAACACCTTATTTTCAATACTTCTAGTGACTCTGTGGTCCTGTTTCTACCACGAAAGCTACGGCGCTGCTACAGAGCCAAACAGCGCATGAGACATTGCTAATCTGTTGCATTTTCAAGTGTGCTCATTCAGTCCTTCATGCGACAAAAAGCACCTTCATGTATTAGATTTTGGGAGAGCTGAATGTTGTTCCTTCATATGGGCTTATATATTTTATCTTCAAGGAAAATCATTTGTAGTTATGTCTTGCATTTTCACATCACTCATGTATTTACCATATTACTTTCCTAAGGGCCGCAGTAACAAAGGACCACAACTGAGCGGCTTAGGGCAACAGAAATTTTGGTCTGACAACTCTGAAGGTAGAAGTCCCAAATCAGAGTATTGGTCAGACCCTGCCTCCTCTTAAGGTGCTAGGGAAGGGTCTGTTCCAGCCCTCTCCTAACTTCTGGTAATTCATTGGCTTGTGGCAACGTAACTCATCTTCCCATTGCTTTCTGCATGCACGCGTGTTTATCTCTTCCCGTGGCATTCTTTTTATAAGGGCCAAACACAGCAAGGTAGGGCTTACCCGATTCCGGTATCTCTGCCTCTACTTATATCTGTGATAGCACTCTTTCTAAATAAGGTCACATTCTAAGGTACTGGGGCTAGGACTTCAACTACAGATTTTGGTGGACAGTTCAACCCATAACACTACGAAATGTTACTCTTTGTCGTGTGCTGAGAGAATAGATTAAGATATTCCATTGCGATTATGGATTCCAAATAAACTGTGATTTTATTAAGCATTATATGTTCCAAGTCTGTATTTCCAGGTGCATACAACTTAAGGTATTTTGTCACGTAAATTTTATTTTTATTGTTACATAAACATCTGTTATTAAACTGATTTCTTATTTGTTGTTAATAAAACCTTAAATAATTGTTTTGTCAAAGCTTTCTAACCCAGACTGCTGGGAACACGCTTGTAGTCAATGAAAATTGGGTGCCTTGAATTCAAGCAGTTTGAGTGAACACATGAAGGGCAGTAGGATCTATCAGCCAGAGGCTGTTTGGAAGGATGTACTTTCAGATTTGGGCTTCTGTTCGGTGATTGTAGAAGGCAGAAATAATTGGATTTAGCTAATTGAAATTGGTAAAGCAGCAGTCAGTCACTATTGAGAAGATGGGATTTTTAAAAAGATTTTATTTATTCAAGACAGAGTACAAGTTGGGGTAGGGGGAGAGGGACAAGCAGATTCTGCCCTGACCACAGAGCCTGCTGCAGGGCTTGATCCCATGACCCCCGAGATCATGACCTGAGCCAAAACAAAGAGTTGGACATTCAACTGAGTGACCCACACAGGTGCTCTGAGAAGAGGGGAATTTAAAAAAAATTTTTTTTAATTTAAATTCAATTTGGTTAACATATAGTGTATTTTTAGTTTCAGGGGTAGGATTTAGTGATTTGTCAGTTGAATATAACACTAGTACTCGTTACATCAAGTGCCCTCCCTAATCCTGTCACCCAATACCCCATCCCCCCTGAAGAGGGGAATTATTAGAAAAGGTTTTAATTCCAACAGTTTACATACAGTGTTATGTTAGTTTCAGGTGTACAGTGTAGTGATTTAGCACTTCCATACATCACCCTGTGCTCGTCACAAGTGCACTTCTTTATCCCCATCACCTATTTAACTCATCCCCCATCCCCTCCCCACCGGTAACCAGCAGTTTTCCATAATTAAGAGTGTTTCTTGATTTCTCCTTTTTTTCTGCTTTTGTTTCCTAAATTCCACCTATGAGTGAAACCATATGGCATTTGTCTTTCTCTTATTTAACTTGGCATAATGCTCTCTAGCTCCATCCTTGTTGCAAATGGCAAGATTTCATTATTTTTTATGGCTGAATAACACATGGTTATGTCTACACATATATACATATGTAAATGTATATGTATGTGCGTGTATACACACACACACACACACACACCATATCTTCTTTTTCCATTCATCAATCAGTAGACTCTAAGCCTGCTTCCATATCTTGGCTATTGTCAATAATGCTGCTATAAATGTAGGGGTGCATGTATCCTTTTGAATTAGTGTTTTTGTATTCTTTGGGTAAATATCCAGTAATGTGATTGCTGGTTCATAAAGTAATTCTGTTTTTAACTTTTTTTTAAAAAAGATTTTATTTATTTATTTGACAGCGAGAGATCACAAGTAGGCAGAGAGGCAGACGGGGGGGGGTGGGTGGGAAGCAGGCTCCCCACTGAGCAGGATCAGGTGGGGCTCGATCCCAGGACCCTGAGATCATGACCTGAGCCGAAGGCAGAGGCTTAACCCACTGAGACACCCATGCACCCCTGTTTTTAACTTTCTGAGGAATTTCCACAGTGGCTGCATCAGTTTGCATTCCCACCAACAGTGCTGGAATGTTCCATTTCTTTACATCTTCACCAATACTTGTTTCTTGTGTTGTTGATTTTAGCTATTCTGACAGGTGTCAGGTGATAACTCATTGTAGTTTTGGTTTGCATTTCCCTGATGATAAGTGATGAGCATCTTTTCATGTCAGTTGGTCATCTTTATGTCTTCTTTGGAGAAATGTCTGTTCATGTGTTCTGCCCATTTTTTAAGTTGGATTATTTGTTTTTTGACTATTGAGTTTTGTATGTTCTTTATGTATTTTAGATACTAATCCTTTATGGGATATGTTATTTACAGACATCGTTTGCCATTCCATAGGTTGCCTTTTAGCTTTGTTGATTGTTTTATTTGCTGTGCAGAAGGTTTTAATTTTGATATACCCCCAACAGTTTATTTTTGCTTTTGTTTTCCTTGTCCCTGGAGACATATCTAGAAAAATGTTGCTAGGGCCAATGTCAAAGAGGGTACTGCCTGTGTTCTTCTAGGGTTTTTATGGTTTCAGGTCTCACATTTAGGTCTTTAATCCATTTTGAATTTATGTTTGTATATGGTGTAAGAAAGTGGTCCAGTTTCTTTCTTTTGCATGTGGCTGTCCAGTTTTCCCAACACTATTTGTTGAAGAGACCATCTTTTTCTCATTGGATATTCTTTCCTGCTTTGTTGAAGACTAGTTGGCCATATAGCTCTGAATCCATTTCTGGGCTTTCTATTTTGTTGATCTATGTGTTTATTTTTATGCCAGTACCATACTGTTTTGATTACATAGCTTTGTAATATGACTTGCAGTCGAATCCTGATACCTCCAGCTTTGCTTCTCTTTTTCAAGATTGCTCTGGTTATTCATGGTCTTTTGCAATTCCACACAAATTGTTTGTTCCACACAAACAATTTTGTTCTAGTTCTGTGTAAAATGCTGGTGGCATTTTGATAAGGATTGCATTAAATGTGTGCATTACTTTTGGGTAGCAGACATTTCACAATTATTCCAGTCCATGAGCATGGAGTGTCTTTCCATTTCTTTGTCATCGGTGTTTTAGAGTTTTCAGATACAGGCCTTTCACCTCTTTGATTAGATTTATTCCTAAGTGTCTTGCTATTTTTGGTGCCATTGTAAATGTGATTATTTCTTAACTTCTCTTTCTGCTTTTTCATTAATGCTGTGTAGAAATGCAACCGATTTCTGTACATCAATTTTGGGCCCTGCAACTTTACTGAACTTATCAGTTCTAGCAGCTTTTTGGTGGAGTCTCTGGGGTTTCTATATAATATCATGTCATCTGCAAATAGTGAAAGTCTTACTTTGGGAAGAGGGGGATGTTTAATCATTTCTGTGGTTTGGAGGTGAGCTTCACAATCTGAGTGACATATAATAGGAAGATACATTTGACATCTTCAGATGGGAAAAATACATTTAAAGGAAGAGAGGGTGGAAGCTTTTGTTTTAATGATCCACACTCCAGCAGCTCCGTTTGCTTTTCCAGATATCATTTCCATCTGTGCAGACTTCCAGTATTTGCCAGGGAAGAGGAAGAAATGTAATACCTTATTTTAATAAAGAGTGGACAATCTCTAATCATCATTTCCTCCATGCTCTTGTATTTTTCATAGCACCCCACTTCTAAACATTTCACAGTTTAATGTGATTTGATAATCATTTGTATCGCATTTTACCCTCCCACTCCATCAGTCCCTCCTCTCACACAGATGAAGACAGTAAAACATGGGAGCACAGAGTTGCCCAAACTGATATAGGTCTTAAAAATGGAAAGCCAAGTTTAAAGATCATCTGTGCTTAATCTTGGCTGGGAATTGTCACAGATTTAGAACAATGGTAGGCAGGTGTAATTGC